GAGGTTTTTGCTATAGGGCACATGCACTCGCCAGACAGAGACAGAGAGACAGAAAGCGAGAAATTACCCCCCAGGGGCGATGGCCATGCCACAGTCCCTTCTCCTCCATTCTCCTCTTGGGATCTTGGGCACGCACGCACACGTGCCTGGCGTGAGTTTTAAGCCACTGGGTCTGGGACTTGAACCACAATCAACTACATGAGAGTCCAGCAGCACAGCCATTATGCTAACTGCTGGTCCCTTATCCTCTGTTCTTTCTGATCTGGTCACACATAGCCCTACTTTCCTGCTGCCTGACACCCTAGGCCTAAATCTCCGGTTTTTCCAGATAAGAAAGAGCAAGGCTTTTTTTTTTTCTTTCCTTTTTCAATTATTTGCCAGAAGGCATGTACATTCATCAGAGAGAGTCAGAGCGGTAGAGATAGAGGGAGGGGGAGAAAGCACCCCCAGTGGGTCATAGTTACATTGCAGTCCTTTCTCCTCTATCTCTCCAACCTCAGGATTTGAGGCATGTGCACATACATACTCAGTGTGTTTTTCAAGCTGCTGGAGCTGGGATTTGAACTATAGTCAGCCATGTGGGTTCTGGCTCCCTTAACCACTAGGCCATGGAACCAGCCCAAGCAAGAACTTTAAAGCCAGACTGTCTTGGGTGACGACCCTACTGCCTCCACCCTCTGTTTGGGTGACCTTGGGCAGGTTACCGGTTAGTTTGCTGCCAATAATATACTCTTGCTGGGTTTTGGGGATGAGGAACAAAACCTTTCCCTTCAGCCTTTCCTATGCGGCAGGGCTGGTTTCTGAAAATCTTCAAATGGTGTCTGAATGGGAATCCCAACTGATCTGAAGGGCTGAGAGGATCCCTTCCACAGCGGCCTTTTTCTTGGACCTGACTCTTTCTCCTGGCCAGTGCCAGATAGTGACTTCTGTCCAGATGCTACTGGATCTACTTGACATCCCCCTCCACCCAAGGCCGGGCTGTCTAGAGCCTTTTCCTCTGGAAAGAGGGAAAGAACTCTATCACTCTAGAACTTCCCAACCACCAACTCCTTCCCCTTGTCCACCTGTCTCCAAGGGAAGTGGATGGACTTGCCTGGGACTTCAGGGAGCCTCTGAGGGAGGAATCCAGGGAGAAACTTGGGAGGAGCAGGCTTCCCCAGACCCCCCAGACCTCCCCTCATGGCAGTTGCACCTGAGGTGCCGGGAACACTTGGAACTGGGAAGGACAGACTGAAGAACAGCAGCTTCTTAAGCTCCCAGAATTGGGTACAGTGCTCAGAGCAGGGGATCTGGGGACATGGTGCTGATGGGACAGATAGAGGGGTAAGCAGGCTTCAAGGACCACCCTGGGGGAATGATTTGTATTATGTGGAACCAACAACTTCAGTGCTCATGAAGAACTACAAAATGTGGACCCTTTTTGAGGAGCTTATATTAAGTCTGAACTTGTTTTGGGTGGAAGCCATAAGTAATTAGAAAAATAGGCTACACATAATTTCCCGAAGATGATTTACAATTAGTTTGGTAATGCTATCCTTAATGCATTCCACTGGGGATCCTCCATTCTAAATGTAACAATGGAAACTAAAATAGGATCTTGGATATTGGACTTTGTACACCTTGCATGTAGTAGCTTGCAGTCTACCGTGGAGAGTGTTGGGGAAGAATAGAAAGGTGAATGAACTTGTCATTGAAAGAGTTCTTTCCCTGAAAGATATCTACAGGGGAAGACCATAGATACAATATGATTCGAGGCACAAAGTGTGCAGAACGATTTGAACTATAGTCAGCCATGTGGGTTCTGGCTCCCTTAACCACTAGGCCATGGAACCAGCCCAAGCAAGAACTTTAAAGCCAGACTGTCTTGGGTGACGACCCTACTGCCTCCACCCTCTGTTTGGGTGACCTTGGGCAGGTTACCGGTTAGTTTGCTGCCAATAATATACTCTTGCTGGGTTTTGGGGATGAGGAACAAAACCTTTCCCTTCAGCCTTTCCTATGCGGCAGGGCTGGTTTCTGAAAATCTTCAAATGGTGTCTGAATGGGAATCCCAACTGATCTGAAGGGCTGAGAGGATCCCTTCCACAGCGGCCTTTTTCTTGGACCTGACTCTTTCTCCTGGCCAGTGCCAGATAGTGACTTCTGTCCAGATGCTACTGGATCTACTTGACATCCCCCTCCACCCAAGGCCGGGCTGTCTAGAGCCTTTTCCTCTGGAAAGAGGGAAAGAACTCTATCACTCTAGAACTTCCCAACCACCAACTCCTTCCCCTTGTCCACCTGTCTCCAAGGGAAGTGGATGGACTTGCCTGGGACTTCAGGGAGCCTCTGAGGGAGGAATCCAGGGAGAAACTTGGGAGGAGCAGGCTTCCCCAGACCCCCCAGACCTCCCCTCATGGCAGTTGCACCTGAGGTGCCGGGAACACTTGGAACTGGGAAGGACAGACTGAAGAACAGCAGCTTCTTAAGCTCCCAGAATTGGGTACAGTGCTCAGAGCAGGGGATCTGGGGACATGGTGCTGATGGGACAGATAGAGGGGTAAGCAGGCTTCAAGGACCACCCTGGGGGAATGATTTGTATTATGTGGAACCAACAACTTCAGTGCTCATGAAGAACTACAAAATGTGGACCCTTTTTGAGGAGCTTATATTAAGTCTGAACTTGTTTTGGGTGGAAGCCATAAGTAATTAGAAAAATAGGCTACACATAATTTCCCGAAGATGATTTACAATTAGTTTGGTAATGCTATCCTTAATGCATTCCACTGGGGATCCTCCATTCTAAATGTAACAATGGAAACTAAAATAGGATCTTGGATATTGGACTTTGTACACCTTGCATGTAGTAGCTTGCAGTCTACCGTGGAGAGTGTTGGGGAAGAATAGAAAGGTGAATGAACTTGTCATTGAAAGAGTTCTTTCCCTGAAAGATATCTACAGGGGAAGACCATAGATACAATATGATTCGAGGCACAAAGTGTGCAGAACTGTTGAATATCAATCAAAGAAGGAAACCTCTGATGGTAGAAATGGAAAATAAGACTTCCTGAAGAGGCTGGGGTTTAAGCCTGAAATGAGAGCACTATTATTTGAAGTATGAATTCTTGATCTTCATTTGCAATCTTACTTGTGAACCCTGAGTATGAAGCCTTCTTAATCTCCCTTACATTGTTTTATTCAGTCTAAGACAGACACTTTGGAACCAGTCAGATCTAGGTTCAAATAAACCATTTCCTAGCTGTTTTCCTTTTTGTTTTGTTTTAAGAAATACATTTTTTTCTTTGCTCATGAGAGAATGAATCCATGCACAGGAGAAAGATAGAAAAAGGAGAGAACCTGGGACCCGCAGTTAGCGTAATGGCTATGTTGCTGGACTCCCATGTAGTAGACCGTGGTTCGAGTCCCGGACCCAGTGGCTTAAACTCATGTTAGGCACGTGTGCGTGAGTGCCCGAGATCCTGAGAGGAGAATGGAGGAGAAGGGATTGTGGTGTGGTCATCCCCCCTGGGGGGTGATTTCTGTCTCTCTGGCAAGTGCACATACCCTATAGCAAAAACCTCTAAAAAACAAACAAAAAGGAGAGAACCCTCCATGGGGTCTGGTCACAGCAAGATACCCTTCCTCCAGTCCTTCAGCTTGTCAGGTCTTGGGCACCTACATGCAGTCAGAGTGTTTCAGGCCTACCTGGCTGGGGGGTCAAACCAGAGTCATCATCTGGCTTGCAGGTGGTCATCTGCAGTTCAGCTCACTACCGCATGCACCACCCTAGCAGAGAAGCAGAATTCTTTGTCTCTCCTTTTTTGTGGTCATTGTGTGTGT